CACACACACACACACACACACACACACACACACACACACACACACACACACACACATACACGTCTCTTGCCTTTGGTGGCAGGCCATAATTAATTATTTAAGCTAATTACACAGAACAAATTACTAGCAGATTAAAAACTAATACCGATTGCTGCCTTTTTCATGTTAATCGTGAGTTTTAGTGCCATTTAAAATTAAAACCCAAAGAGCAGCAACTTCATCACAAACAGTTCTTTCAGCAGGGTGAAGAAAAACTGTTTTTACAGTAACAATCCAAAATGTGCACTGATATGTTGGCCGGCTAATGGATGCCATAAGTTTATACATATTTTCAACAGCCCAACTCTGCCAGCTTTAAATCATGCTTGGTTCCCTGTGAACGTCTCATCTCTGCCGGAGGGATATTAGCCTGGGCATTATACTGCTTTTAAAGAAACATTCAAATTACACGTTTCTCAAATTTAAGTCGAGCCATCTTTTACAGCTTTGGTGCCTTTAATAAAACCTCTTTAGTGGCCACAAAGGGGTTGATCTCCACACACTGTGCAGGTGAACTGAATGCACCCAGGGGATGTGGCATTGGCCCGTAGCTGGAGCAGTTTTTCTTCTTTAAACAAACAGTGTGGGGAAGCCAGTAACCATAAACCAACATCATTATGTGAAGAGTGTGTTTAAGATTGGAAGATCAAACAGGATGTCAATGAACCACAGCCAGAAGTTTGTTAAACTATGCAAAACAGGGAAAAAAAACTTTCAAGGTCTACACTCGGACAAATTCTTGGATGAGATAAGCAAACACGTCATTTAGTTTTCAATACTTTCGCTCAAACAGGAGAAACAGAAACAGACTGGCTACAAATTAAGATCTTTGACACATGTTTGAAATGAGCTTCCTAAAGAAGTCGTGTGATTTTGTTTCCCAAGCGACAGCACACGTCCCATCAACATAAATCACAATGTGCCAGTAAACAGAGCGTCACACAGTCCATGGCATTTGAGCTTTTATCGTTTGTTCCAGACAAGGACATTAAAAGCATCCCCAAAAACATCCAATCAAAGCAAAGAGCTGCATGGGGATGATTCAGTAGCACTGATTCAAAGTTCTGCAGACTTGATTTTCAGTCAGGAAAAACCGAAAACACGTGTTTGACTTTGTTGCTTTATACAAAACCCACACTGTAGGGATGTTGACATTTCGTCAGCAGCTGCTGCCATTTTCTTCCCAAACTGCTCCAGATTTTGCAACGCTGCTCTGTGCGTTTGCTTGTAATTTCCTCCTGCTTCATTATTTCTACAAATTTCAACAAATCGGGCTGCCGTCAGGTAGTTAGCTACAGCCTCGTCTTTGAGTTTTTAATTTTTGTTGATGCATTTTGAAGAGACAATTTTTTGAAAAGAGGATCAAAGTAAATCACCCGAGTTTTTCTTGTGACCCCTTAAAGAGATAAGCTGCCATGAAGAACATTATTTTATCTGCCCTTATTCCAAATTTGATAATGATTTGAAACGTCGAAGTACGTTTTTTTTTTAATCCGGAGTAGCGCTTGTTAGCAAAGTGTGTTGATGCACGTCTTCGTCACTTGACACATTTCACACGCTGTCATTGGTTGAGGAGCTTTGTTTACAAAACAGATGTCCACATGGTTTTTAAATTGTTTTAATGTCCTTACTTTCTAAGACACATTAAGTTGATTTGATGCTACAGTTTGCCTTGTAATGTTATTTTGTACCTTTTCTGCTACTTTTGAATTGGCTATTATTAAGTTTTATTAGTTTTTTTTAGGATACAAGATGCTTCCTACAAAAACCAGAATGGGAATCTTTTCCTAAAATTTCACGGTGATATCTTGAACACTGAGGAAGTTATGAGCAAAATTAGAAAACAGCAAGGTGAAATGGTCACCTTGGTTCTGCTGTGAACTGCAGCAAGAAAACATGAGCTGATTTCACCTAAACAAACATAAATAACTTCCCTCATACTTCAGATAATCACATGATTTTGGTGTTATTTTGTAGGGTTTGAAATGTTCATTTGGAATCCGCTGTCAGATTTAATATTGGTGTAGGATTAAAAATGTATCCACATCCCTACACACTGTTTGTCCCATGGGACTACTTGTTACCTTTTCCACAGAGCCTCATGCACTGTGGACGGATTAACACAATTTAATTCAAAGTGTCTGACAGGACCTCTGCAGCGAGTCAACACCGTGTCCACTGTATCTGAACACTGTCATCATTTAGGTCAATAACAAAGAATAAGCCAGTGGAGGCTTACACATACAGTAGATGGTGAGAAAACACTAAGGATAAATACAACTCTCTTACTAGTTATTAGAAAATTCCCACATTAGCTCACATATACTGAGATATATATAAAAAGGCAAAGATGTGACTAATTCCTGGAAAGCAATCACGTGTAAATAGAAAGGTAAAGTTTGTAAGGTTAGTAAAGTTTGTTGTTGTTTAGAAGTAGGCTACAACAGTAATTGTATGCATGTGCTTTTTCCCAGCAAAAATGTGCTCAATGAATTTCTATTTAATTATTGATTGCAGCTTTTTTTTTTAAATTGAACTCAGACTCTGAACCCACTGGACTGCTAATCTATCTAATTAGGTAATAAATAAACCTGTTGTACCTGTAACACGTTGTGACTTCTCCAGTCGACTTCACGCAGGGGTACTTTGTGGTGGAGATGTTATTTTCAGAGCACTTCTCTCTGTAAAAGATGAGGATATCTGAAGCGTGTTCAGGGTTTAAAGCACTTGTCATGGTTTTTTATGAGATGAATTACCCTTCACTGACATCCTCCTGCTGGTAGGACCACAGCAGAGCTCCGGAGAAGCACATGCAGGTGACGGTGAGCAGCAGGGGACTCCTGTTGGCTCTCAGCAGCATCACGTCGCTCGGTCCGTCCACACACTCGAAGCGAACGACCTCTTCCACACTGCTTCCACTTCAGCAAAATAAAGTTAGGAAGCTGCAGGAACACAGACCCTCCCATTCTCCACGAGCTGCTGTGAACCCACCGACTACAAATTTAAAAAAAGGGAAAAAAGCTGTCACTTGTGTCACTCAGAAACTCAAACACTGCTACATTCCGTGCAAAACCTATGTCAGAAAATAGATAACATTTCACCCATTTATTATTTATTTACTTATTGACGCAATAAAGTTCTCAAAAAGTAAACAAACCTTTCAGCTGGTCAGATGCGTGACGTTCAAAATTAAAAGCGCGAGCTCCTGTTGCCGCACGCACGCGCAGTTGGAATTTTCGAGCTTTTTGAGCTTTGCTGCCCCCGTGTGGCCGAAAAAGAAATAACAACTTCCACACACAAACAGGAGACTGTTTTCTAATAGCTTTCTTATTTAGAGTTTATTTACATTTGTTGCTTTCATTTATGATTTGGTGAAAAACATATGAAATGAACAATATAAGACACAAAAGTCTGGTAAATGAATAGATGACAACACAAGTACTGCAAAATATAGGGCATAAACAGACGTGCACACACATTTTAGATACAAAAGTACCATATACTTATGCCAAATAGCTAAAATTAAAGAACAACATGACAAATGTATTGCACATCTGCAAGAAGCACCTCATGACAAACACATAAAAGCCTAAATCATGTTTGTGGTTGGTGCTTGTTGTGTTTATCTGAATGTTTCTGAATTGAGGGAGACAAACGAGATGTCTTTGCACAGGGGCCTGATTGATCTGCAATCCACCCATGCAACTATTGCAATCAGCTTCATCAGTTTTAAGTCGGTGCATTCAGTACCTTGGAAACTTTCTCTCGAACTTTATCAGAAATAATTTTATGAGTTCAATGCTTTTAGTTTTTTCAGCATGTCAACATTTTGACAGCTTTGTTTGTGAGAGCAGTGAGCCATTTTAAGAAGCGGGACTTTTTTGTTGAAGATAATAAGCAGAATGATCTCTTGAACCACATTTTCATAAGGTTTTGTTCCTTCTTAAACGTTTCCCAAACACTGTTAATTGTGTAGAAAAGATTTGAATCCAATGATTGAGGCTCTTTCAAAACATTTCATCAATTCAAACAAAACGTTTCTTCATACACTATTTTTTAAAATATGTCACATGTTGTAAACAATGCAAAAAATGCATACTAGCAGCATATTAGCTTGACTATTTACAAGTTTTCATGTATACTAAAATAACTAATGGAACATTTTTCAAACATTTGCTAAAATGGCAATGTGATGGATTATTTAATAAAATGATTTATTAGCATTTTATTGAATAAATAACTATAACAGTTCAAAGTGCATTTATATAACTTTGCAGTGATTTAACTGAAGATGTGCTGATAAGTCTAGAGAAAAACGACTGTCTTACTGTGTCAGAACAGCAGGGATTAACATGGGCTCAGTCATCACAAACAAAAACTTAACACCAAATTGAAAGAGAATAACTAAGTTTGTGATTTAACTATTCATTTAAAAGAAAAACTACGTCCTGCAGGACAAACATGAACTATTTATAGTCTGGCTTTGGTAGCACACCATGTGTTTTGTTATGTCATGTTTGAACATAACTGATTATGTGGCCCAATCTTATAAAATAAAGCAACAATTATCTATTTTATTTTTTTGGCTGAACAGGCTGAGCACATTCTTACCCCTACATTCAATGGGTCAAATCATCTAGAAAGATTAGGCCTAATCTGAACACCTGCGTTGTTTACCTGTCTCTGAAGAAGTGAGAAGTTATCCAGTTTCTCAGAAAGGCAGGGTGAGTTTACAATACATTGGACTACGAGGTGGTGTATAGGAGACTGTAAAAGATACCAACCCCCTCCCCCATGAAACAAGAGGACCAGGGTGTCCCTTACATCCACCAAGACCGCTTTTCTCCCCGTGTGGGGTCAGTCAGCTATGATTAAACCTAATTCAGGACATTAGTGACACAACATCAGTCAGAGTGTATATCCAGGAGAAAGGTGATAAAATATTTCCAATTACCACAATACGTCTTTGTACAACGCTGGGAATTGTGGCCTTTCTAGTATCGCTCGGCAGAAAATGACACCTCGAGCCTGCCTCAAAGGGATCTGCTCAGGCGTGACCCTTTCAGTTGGAAGGGAAAGCAGTGTTTCATCGCTCGGCTGGCTTCATTACAGCAAAACCTCTCCTGCACCGCTCAGGTCTGAGGGTGCAGTTCACTTCCCAGCCACCTGATGGCCCTTTCAGCCAAGAGATTTAGGACCCCCACCCCCCAGCACACACCTCACCCTTTTTTTGCCACTATCGTCATCATTGCCCACAAAATGGATGACAGCTTTTAGAAATACCAGCGTGCGTCACGACTGTGAGGTGCACACGCTGTGCCATTTACGTTCCACCTGTTCTGATACCTCAGCAGCCTGAGAGTCAGAGAAACACTGCATTGGTACAAGTGGAGGGCTGGACCCTCACACTGCAGGAGCAAAACACCTGCTGTCATTTACACTGTATAGATCCAAACCTTTACCTCTGACTTTTAGCAGGGGTCACTATGTTTCAAGAAAAAACATTTCAGATGTTCTTCACAGTTGTGTTCAAAGTGACATTTTACTACATGACATCGGTTTCCAGTCTTGAAAAAGCCTGTTTTTCTGTACTCACTATCATGAACGACGAGGGTTCGAATTTTTGCTAGTGGATGTGTTTGTTTATGTATGTTAGCAAAATATCTCATGAATCAACTCAGCCCACTTTATGAGCTAAAATTGTGTGTGAAATAGATGAGTATTGAGCATAACTTATTGCACAGCATCTTGCTTAAAACCTTGGCATTGACTGTTGGTGTCAACCTTGTTTGTCTGTTAGCAAAATATCCCTCGAGCCACAAGACACGTTTTATTAAACGTCTCAGAAAGTAATCACTGGGTTGATGTCTACAGGTGATTAACTTTTGGCCTTAACCACATGTAATACAGCTGCTACATTCAACTCAACTTAGAAAACACAAAAATGGCTAAAACTCTATTTTACAGATACTGATCTGAAATTTTGCACATTTGAATATAACATTGCACAAAAAGAAACAATGCGTAGGTCCTCTGGATGGGTTCTTCTTTAGTGAAACGTTTCGTCTCTCCTCCATGAGACTTCTTCAGTCTGATGAGTTTCAGTTGAAACTCAGCCTTATAAGCACTGCCTCCATATGGACAAACAGGTTAGTCACATGCAAAAGAGGGCAATCGCATAGCTCTATTTAGTCCCATGCAAAAGAGGGCTAACTTATTACTCAACATCTTTGATGATGAGTGAACTCTGTTTGTCTTTTAGCAAAATATCTCATGAACCAGTAAAATGTTCAGATAGTGATTATGAACAGTAAAACTGACTAACAATTTGAAGACAAACATATTCAAGATGGCCGCCACAGTCATTGGGTTTTAGTTTACAAAAATGGTTTTAATTATATTATTTTTAATTATTAAATATGGTTTTATGATGCTGAATTTTATAAGTACCGATCTAAATGTTGGCGTGGTGGTAGCTGAGAGTCATTCACAATATTTCAAGCGTTAAACCATGCAATACATTTGTTCATTATGTTGTTTTCAACATAGCTGTAACTCAAGATCGTTTTAGTTTTCAAAATGACAAAAGATAGCAGCTGAGGTGCATTCCCGAAAGAACTGCTAGTTTTAGCTGGACTAAGTCATGGCCCTACAACAGCTTTAAGCTTTTCCTGGCCTTAAACCATTATTCTCCTACTTAACACGACAGGCACGCAATTAATCTACACAATTAGGATGGCGAACGTTTCAAAATGAAATCAGGCTGAGAAAAAAAAAAACAATTAAAGAAGAGAGGATGCAGCAGGCAGGTTTTGTGCGGCTGTAAACAAACTGTGTGGGAGTGGACGTTGGCTGTTTTTCTTGATTAAGGCGCTCATTGAGATCTCTGCGTGAATGCTGAGCTGGTGTGGGGGAAAGGTGGAAATGATTCCACCTGATGCGATTAGATCAGGAGCTGCACGGCACCCAATTGACTCAATATTAGCCAAGAGGAAACCTCATGACAAATGTTCTTGTACACTCGTGAGCTGGGCAATTAGAAATCGAGCCGTGGAAAACGATCCAGTGTCTTGTGGGTTGTTGACATTGACACAAATCTTTTTTTATATTCATGATCCTCATCATGCAGGGCCGAGTCCTGTACAAGAAATATATACTTCTATCTCCTAAATGCTTCTACTTTTTTCTTTTTCCTTTTTTTTTTTTGCACACATGGGATGACAATGGGAACCCTCCTCACTGTCTTTTCCTCCCTTAGCGGCGCAGCACTGCAGTGCTCGTCTGCACATGCTCAGAGAGACGGAGGGAGAGCCACAGCAAGTTGGAGCTCCCTAAAAATATTAGCAGCCCTGCATCAGACATTTATGCAGACCTGCAAGCAAACAGAAACTGTCAAGCTGAAGAGGAATAGCTTAAAATGCTGCTGATGTGGACACATGCACACCTACAGGAAAGAACTTAGTCTCTTTAAAATAATGTTTTTTCAAAAGCTGTCTGTCTCAAGGTCACTCTGTCTTTCTCAGGCTCAGTCTGCTCAGCACAGAATGACACATCATTTTTAAGACCTTAATACACCTCTATTACTTCTTACTAGATCTTGCTGCAAGGTAATTTAATTTCTGAATTTATAGTGTGTGTGTCCTAAATCAGTAGCAATAGTCTGCTGTCAGCTTCGACCGCTAATTTTCCAAAAGACAAACCAACTTTCCACAATCCTTGTAATTATTTACTTCAAATACATGGTCAGAATCTGTCATTCTTAGAATTTAGTTTCATTTGACTCAGAAACTGTAGTAGCTGAAGTCAGACTATGTGCTTTTTGTTCTAGAAACCAATGAAAACTGCACTTGTATCAGCCCAAATTGTATTTTATGTCCTTGAGTAAAAGCACAATTCTGAAAAAGTTAGGATCTTGGATACATTAAAAAAAGCAATGGTTTGCAAATAACAACAATTATTTCAACTCAAATTGTATTTTATGTCCTTGAGTAAAAGCACA